TGTTTTTAGGAATTGTGAGTTATTCAAGACAAGTCTAAGAGACAACCCATTCTAGACATGTTTTCATTGTCACCTATAAATTACATGAGCTGATTCACAATTACAGCTTTACAGCATAAATCTATGTTTCTGATATTGATTAATACTAAGAAGTTTGTGGACTTGATTAATTGAGTAATCAGGGTATCATGCTTAGTCATCCCAACAGAAATTCAGTGATTAAAAAGGATTTTATGTTCAGATGAAAAAACATTTCAAGCAATTAACAGAGTTTTGTCCACAAATTGCACTGGAGCATCAATCATAGGCGTGTTTATAATAATTAACCAAAATTAAACCTTGTAATCAATGTTGCCCAAATAACAGTAAACAATTCATCAAAGAGAAATTAACAACACATCAGAGCCAAATGTAACAACCTCTTCACTCAACACCTGTTTGTGTTATCAGTTTCATGAAAATGAGATTAGGAGCCTGGCGCTCCTTTTCTCCAAAATAAAAGTATCAAGCTCAAACAAGAGCATAGCTCGGTTCTATCAACACACATCATACACTAGGTGCAAGTTCTGTTACGCTTCTATGGAAATACGGGAAACCGCAGCCAAGTTGACAGCATTTTGCGTGCAAACAGCGACTGCAAACATAACACATAAACCAACAGTTTGATGTTTCAGAAGTGGAAAAGCCACCTCCGATCCTCAACTCCTCATTCTCCACCAACAGTTTTTCACAGCTATTCTTTGTATGACATGTCAATCCACAAAACAAGTACTGCAGAGATTTCCTTGGAGCATTTCCCCTGTCTGGGCACGTTGTATACTCCCTCCGTTCCGAAATATAAGTCTTTCTAGTGATTTCACTAGATGGACTACATACGGAGCAAATTGAATGAATCTACACTTAAAATGCATCTAGAATTCTAGATACATCCGTATGTGGTTCATAGTGGAATCTCTACAAAGACTTATATTTAGGAACGGAGGGAGTAGAACATAACCTTGACCTTTTGGCTGCTCAAACGGAGGCTTGTCACGGCCTATAGTCAGCCTACGCACTGTCCTCTTCTTGGCTAGATCTTGAAACCCAACTGGATCAGGCCTTTCTATGTCTTGTGACAATTGCTGTCACAACATCCAGTGGCATTGTAGCATCAGGAGGCCCTGAAAGTGCGGCTCTCTATCTCCGTCCTCCAAGCCCGTCCCATCCCTGACCTTTGCTGGTTGTCTTGATTGTCGGCACAATCACAAGAACTTTCTTCATTGCTACGCTGCAACTCTCGACGTTTGTGTCACCCAATTGCACAATGCTCAGTCTTGCTTGTACAACCTAGAATGCATGTATGTTATTGCTTTTGGTTTGCCACTGTCCTTTTGGTACCGCAACAACCCAGCGAGGCAAAATATCCCCTGCATCTCGTGTCCAGCATTTTATAATGTGCTTTGGTGGTATTTGTGTTAGACGGACATGCACCATCACCCGTGTGGTTTGAAGTACAGGTTAGCTACTTGCACCAAGGAAAAACAATACAATACGTGGCCTGATCTGCATTATAAACACCCATCACTAGCTGTCAGTCAAGTAAATACATACACCAATACAATACGAACAACCAAAGCAGCTAAACATTTACTTGTCATTATAGTTTTCGGCTGTGTTTCCATGAGCATTCTGAAAAAATCAGTGAATACCCAATTAAAATTACCTACCTTCTCATTGCTCATCACCACACCACTGAAGATTGTGCCCTGGGAATGATTGTTCACCCTGACAAAAAGGCCGAAAGGCATGTTGTGAAGGTCTGTCAGATAGGTCTTATCAAACAAGATGAAATGGCCGAAACAAATGTAATTGTGGCAAACCCCTCCTACAGTCCACATCAATAAACAGAGCCATAATGTAATTTACAGAAAACAATAATTCGTGCAGCCGGAGTAACAATCTGTGCACAATGCTCACCTTTTCGTCCAGCCAAAAATACCCCTTTTTGATACAACCACACCAGCCGTACCACAGACTTTGTCTTCGCCGAAGCTTTCATCCATACCTCCACAGCCTCACTGGTATTGAAGCCATTCATAGATGACTCACGCCCAGGCAAGTCTTCCAGCGCCTCGCAGCCTTGTGGTTGTTCTGCATCAGTTTGAGCACTCGTAATCTCCGACAGGATACTCACTACCTTCCTCTCTGCACGCACTAATCTGCCCGGGCTCTGCCAGCGGGAGGTCGCCCTTCACCCGTACAGGTACAGAGAGTTCCACTCAGAATCTGCAGGAGAACCGGAGCTCCAGAAGCTTTATGCATAGCCAGACCAAAAGAAAGCCATGTTGAATACCTTATTGCACAAGGACATGGAAGAAAACAAAAGGTGAGCCTCTGGATGATAAATCATGAAAAGTAAGGAAAAGATCCAGTAATTTAGTTTGCAGTGACATATCACCATTTAGTCAGTAATTTAGTTATGCAGTCCGATCAAGCAGTTTTAGTGAACTAGTTACTTTGGCATTTAAAATTCAGAAACAATGGGCAAAATCTCTAGCTAAAAATGAAACGACGGCAGGTACAAATTGGTAAACATGTATTATCAGACTAGCTAAAAACATTTATTCTAACATCATGATATGTCACAATTCCGATGATAAATGCAAGGACATGTGATCATTTACTAGGTGCTAAAACTGTAGTGAGGTGAATGAGATGGAACTGTATACAGGGATAACTCAAGATGGCAGATAATCTACTAGTTATGCACTCGGATCCACCACCAGTGTAAAGTGAAGTAGAGAGGAACGAATTAGCCACATTGGCTCTGTTCAAGCGGGAGCAAGTCTGAGATCAGAACCTTGGAGACGACGTGGGAAGTGTCGAGCAGCAGCTCGAGGAGCTCGCGCGTGGCAGACGAGTGTCCAAGGAGGTCCACGTGTGCGCGGAGGAGCCCATGGCCGGTTGGGCGACCACGCCGAGGAGGCGGCCAAGATCTGGCGCCTGTGTCTCCCTCCGTTGGTCACCATGCTGGCACCCGTGTTGGATCTGGCGCAAGGCCGTCGCCATGCTCGTTGATCTGATCGAGAATCGGCACGCTCCCTGGTTCTCTGATCTGGTAGAGAATCGGCACGCTCCTTGGTTCTCCTCAATCTTCCAGAGACACTACTCTGTTGAGTCTCCTACTCTTGGTCAAACCGCCTCAGCAGTTATAACCTTCTAGAATCTGGGCCGAGTCACTAGACGGTCAGACCTACCTGGCTAGAGTCTTGAGGAACCGACCTTGCTCACCTCCCTGAAGCACTCGAGCACTCATCGTTGCCGAATGAATCGTCAATACCAAACGATCGGCGTTGCAGCACGACCTGGTAGCCCAAGGGGGCATGGCTAGAGTTTATCAGAGCATCAGGCGGCTGCCATAGGTCTGGGTCTCCCAGGTGGCCAGGTCCATCCATAACATCTTCATGAGGGCCAATTAAGATTCTCCTGGAGGTTCAGTGCTGGGAAGTTCGTCTGTCCTCAGAACTGTGCCCATCTGTTGTCAACCCTCCTCAGCAATTGAATCATCGCTGGACATTCATAACGGCAGAACGTACGTACTGCTCCTCACAAGCTTGCCTGCAATTATGTAAGATAGAGAGTTAGACCAGAGGCACACGAAAAAAGGGATTGTTTACCACAGCCCTTTGTCGATCTCTTGCATGCATTTGCCTGTTACACATTTACCCTCACCGTACCAGATACCAAATACTCCCATGATTAAAGGCCAGTGAATCAAGTCCCAAGCGTTGGGTTTACAGCTACACCAGTCTTGAGCTCGGCAAATCCATTCAAGGATAGTGACAAAGGTACTACAACTCATGGGCAAAAAAGGCGTACATTCTCAATTGTAAATCTTCACATCCCTCGGACGATGTTATATGTTTGAGAGAATTAACAAATATGCTAAATTATGTCAGCACAGAGGTAGAACTAAAAGTTGCCAGCATCACTCTGAGCCATAAGATGATCACTTCAGTGTTTAGACACGATCAGCAATAGTTTAGCATTAACTGTTCCCTAGTTCTGTTGTTGTCGCCAACCAAACACATCCACAATCCAGTGTAATCACTAAACATCAGATCATAATTCATGTATCGTTGCCTGGCATTACACTTTTCAGCTCAAGAATGGTCAGTAAAATACACATTAAAAAACTTCTGTTCCAAATACTTAATTCGCTAGAAATTCTGAGATTTTGTATCAGCCGCCTAACTAGAGCTTTACAAAATGCATATGTAACAATACGTGGACATGAAAGAATACATATTTACTCAGCAAGAGAACAACGATTACATTTCAAGAACAATATCTTCCGTTGTGAAAATCGATGAGGACTAGTTTACTGTCATCCCAGAAAACAAAAACATGCAGCAAAGGGGAAACAGTTTTGGGGCAAAAAAGGAGAAGTGCCTCACATGATACTCTTTTGCAATGGAAGCCAAATGGCAAAAGGCATCAGGACCCATGAAGTTATAATGACAAGAATGCGTATTACCTTGCTGCTGGTGGTCTACTTGATGTTGTTTAGTGACATCCTTCCAATATTCATCAAGGCAGAGGAATGTAGAATCCCGACCTTCTTTAAGATAAGACAAAACTATAACAAGCTGTATTGGGATTCAAACTTAGCAGCAAGTACACTGAATGAACCTGCAGACTCTGCCAAGCAGAGGGATGTCAATATCACCTTGGACGAGCAGATCCTAGCTGGCATAACAGCATACTAAAAGCTCAAATTTTCTCATCATCCTCTTGGGTAGACATAAACTGACACCGCTGGTCATTTTTTAATTCACAAACAAACTGACTTCATCAAGAAGTGAGAGAAGGTTTTCTTAATTCTAGTTACATCATCATATTGATTACATTGAAAGCATTAGGAATAAAGAAATTAAATAATATTCTCATTTTCAAAGAGTAGTCTACAATACAGAGGGACTATTATTTTTTCGGTGCCACATGCCTACTTATCATCTGATTCAATCTCTCATGCGTGAAATCCTCAGTTGGGAATCCTGGGTTCTTATTTTCTTCCACAGCCCTTGAAAAGACTCAGGTATGGAGTAGTACTCATGAAACATCAGTCCATTTGACCTGCAAGAGGATGGATGGATGGATCATTAGTTAGAGTGATCATGCTGAACGCTAATCGGGGAGGAGGTAGGAAGCGAATTGAGAAACCGTACCATTCATGATGATTGCAGTAGGTGAGAAGATGATCAGCAAGAGTGAAGGGCCGCACGGATGTGCAGATCATCTCCTTTCCGTCATGTACCTGACACAACGCCGTTGGCCGCTCGAACGATCGGCTGCTCAAACAATGCACGACGACCGGATCCGGGAGTGATACCGTGAGGTAAATCGAGTTGCTGCTGATGGACGGAAGGTTCTTGGACGACACGGACAAGCACCTGTCCAAGGAGACGAACAATGCCCGGTCGCCGAGACTTGTTACGGGAATCAGTTCCCGGTGGCCGACGATGCTTATATTCACCTTGAAGATGGCAATGATGTAACGTCGCCACTCCTCTACATCGGGGTGTACAAACTTGGGCGACTTGACAACGAGTAGCATGTCTCCATCGGACTCCACGAGATAGTACTTGCAGAAAAGCGGGTTACCAAACTTTTGTGGAACATGAGCAACAACAGGACCGGTGGGTGGCTTGGGAGGGTAGACTTGCACAATCTGCCTTGAAGACTGCAGGAAGCCGTAGAGCTGACCTTGGAAGGGCAAGGTGTTGGACAGATACATGTTTGTTTGGATGACCTCCCAGCTCGGGTGGCCTGCATCGGCACTGAGCACCACAGATGACCAAGGGAACCAGGCCACGACGGCAATGGAGGTGGTGGATGATACACTACTACAAACCGCAGCGTTCATGTGAAGGACACAGTTGCGGTTCTTGATCAGCTCCTGGTACACGGGGACGAGGGACGGGAAGTCAACCGCGGCGCCTGTGAAGGGGTTGAGCACGCGGACCGCGGTGGTTCGCTTGTGCAGCAGGATGACAAGACCATCGGTGAAGCCAATGATCCTGTGGCGCTGGAGCTCGGGCAGGCGGACGCGGAGGCACCTCGCCGTTTGACTGTGGAAGAAGGTTATCTGGCAGGCGTCGTCGGGGCGGACGGCGTCGCCGTCACAGAGCGTGACCCAGCCGACCGGGCGGAGAGACCGGATCCGGAGGGTGGGGTCGCGCGGAGTGGGCGCGCAGGTGCGCCATCCGGAGCAGACGGCGCGGAAGGCAATGTAGTCCACGACGCCGAATTTCAGCACCAGCGCGGCGACCTGGCGGGCTATGTCGTCCGGGAGGGACGCCCAGCCGGTAGCTGTCTGCGCCGGAGTGGGGGTAGACCGGCGTTTGCAGGGGGAGAGAAAGGGGAGCGATGGACCTTTGCGCTTCCGTCCGGCCGGAGATAAAGGAGGCGCCTTTCTCCCCATCCCGCACCTTGGCTTGTTCGGATGCGTTGCTCTCGCGCGTCGGCCGGAGCTATATACAGGAGGACTCCTACTGCGATCCCAAATCGGAGTTGATAGATTGAAGGGGAATCCGAGCGGCGCCTGGATCTGGATGGAACATCCAGCGGCCTATTTAGACAGTGAAGACCAGTAAATTGGGGAGAAATATGAACCTGGCGTTGCCGAAGCGGCGGCGGCCGCCGCCGGAATAGGGTGGAATCACGCCGCTGCCAGAACGGCGAATGCAGGGAAGGGGAAAGGCAAGCGCTCCCCGCACTCCCTTTTTTTTTCGTTTTCTTCTTCTTTTGGCGATCAAAAACAATAAGGTACTGTACGCGGTAAGGGCGAGCGCCGGTGGTGTCCACGTAGATTTTACTGTGCAGGTGAAAATGCGTTATTAACGAAACAACAACAAAAAAAAAAACAAGAGGAGAAACGTCTTCGTCTCGTTTCCTTCCCTACGACTACGAAGGAAGGAACTCCACACAGAGTCGTCTCCCCTCGACCCAAGCATGCCGCCGCCTCCTCCAGTTCTCCTCTCCCCGTCCCAGCCCCCTCCTCCCTCTCTGTGGCCTCGTCTCTTCCCCGTTCTCTTCTCAATCCGGATCCATGGACGTGGCCGGCAGGGATGCCATCGACCGCGGCGCTAGGGTTCGTAGCCGCCGCCACGCGCACAGTCTTCCGGAGCCACCTCCGCTCCGGCGCCCATCGATGGTCCTCTCTACCGTCGCCCGAAGCTGCTCCGCCCATCTTTACCCGGATCAGCTCAAGCGTGAGGCCACCACGCGTGGTGGCCGTGTGCGGCGGCCGCCGCGTCAGTTCCCCACCGCTGTGGTGCCGCCAGCCAGCGCGATTCCATTGCCTTGGATTCGGTTTTGGCGTGGGCTGGGAACCCTATGGTGTTGTCTGATGCGTCATGGGCGCGTGGGGTTTGGTCGGTTGAGGCCAGGTATGAGCAGCTCCTGAGAATGATGGATGGATGGATGACCACCACGGAGGCAGAGCACCAGGTGAAGGGTGGACTCCTTCTGGATGTTGTATTCAGCGAGGGAGCGGCCATCTCTAGGGATGAGAGGATCGGGGTTGTGTGGTCTCTGAATTCCGCCAATCTACAAAGGTAGGAGCAGTATTGGGGATGAACTTCCCCATGAAACCAAGTCATCTGAGGCAAGTAGTAGTGCGAGACGCTTGGAGCATGATGTCACGTACTGGAGAAGTGTGTCGTCGGAGAACAGGTGCAGCAGACTAAAGCATGTCAACATCGACATGTTGCTGGCCTGCTGTCCACATAATCAGCAAAGACATATGTTGATTATGAGATGGTACTTGAGATCCAGTATCTGCAATGATGATTTGCAGGATACTGACAATGGAGGAGTTTTTGCGGTTCGAAGAGGACACGGTGATGGGATGCGGCAGCCTTTCCACGACGCTACAGAAACTGCACATGGGAAATGAAGCTTCTTCAGGAAGTTAAGGTATATAATTCTGTTATACTTTACGAGTACATATTTGAATTTGTGAGGAACATTGTGAGTCGTAAGACTATTTTTTGTCACAATGCGATTTCCCATGTTCCCACTTTGCATGCTTGTGCAGTCTAATCTAGAGTACAGAGTCCAAGTAAGTGTGGGAAAGTTTTGGATATGTCCATTGTCAATGGTACCAGTTGACTGTAGTTACGAGTTTGCATCTTATTGTTTAATGGGTAATCCTTATTTAGTTATAATTATCATTGCGGCTAAAATTCTGTATCACGTACTTAACTATATTTTTAAAATTAATAAATAAACATGCTATGATTATATCCACTTTAACATTCTTTTGTTCTTCCATGTATAAAGAAATGGTTGGTTTTTTTATGCAACAGAATGCTCTGCTCTACTCTGCTCTGCCCTGCATTGCTCCTATGGCTCTGCTCTGTCGTGCACACAATGCTCCATTTTGTGATACATATGGGTAAGTCTTTTCTTATCACCCGACACCATTTAACCAACATTAGATTCAGTGGACTCAATTTTTTGGGTGCATTACAGGCTGAAGAGGAGGAATGGCTTAAGTCCAATAAGAAACACCAGGGCCTGCTGATATTAGAGTTGAGGTCCGTAGTATACTCTCTTTTAGTTCAACATAAATTTATAATGCTTCAATGGGTTTCTCTGTTAGTGCCCCAGTGAGTTGAGTTTCAGGGATTCACATGATTTTGGTGTATGACCATTGAAATGGACTTTCTTCACAAGCATAAGGAATACCTATAATTTTGACTTCACCATTTTGCACTGCACATTCAATCCATATATTCTGCAACCAGCAAGATCCACTGACTAAAAAAAGGACTAATCAGCATAGTTACACCACTACCAGGTTAATCAAATTTGAACTACCATCTAAAATTAGCTCATATAGGGAGGATGAAAGGGCTGCTGATTTTTTGTGACTGAACTTTTACATTATGGAAATCGAGTATAATAATAACTAGCTATTTCAATAAATAAATTAGTCTAACATGTACTAAAATGTTGTGGCCCATAGCAACTCAGAGAGAGGTTCCATCCCTGCACATTGGCTGCCAAAGGCACACTGATTCCACCATCCGGACGTCCACGGCATGGTATGTGATTGCATAGTATAGTATATTTGTTTTTTCCTTTTACTTCTACATTCTGTTGAATGTGTCTCTCAACCTCCAGAGTGATGTATGCATGCATGTATGTGTGTATGGATCAAGGATTACGAGTCGACGAGTCGTTGAGTCATTCCGAGGTTGAGACTCATAGACTAATCAGACTAGTCTTAGACTAGTGCTAGACTAGTCGACAAAGTACTGTAGTAGTCAACTACTAATACCTAGTAGCAGTATGTGTAGTATGTAGTAGTATATACAATAAAACCAGCATTGCTCGCCAACGCTCGCCAGGCCCAGCCCAGTGCCGCTCAGCACGCCACCCCCAGCTGGCCCATTTGGGCCCAAGTAGCCAGCCTACTTAGCCTACTTCCCATCCCAGTCTCTGTAACCCTAGCTCCCGATCGATCCCGTCGCCACCACCTGCGTCATCACGCACAGAAGCACGCGCGCGCGACCCGCGCCTCCGACCGCTGCCGCCGGCGAGCC